CCCCAAAACCCCAAAACCCCAAAACCCCAAAACCCCACTGCTCAGGGCCAAGTTGGATTATAACTTTTTGGGTTAAAATGAGTTCTGAAGTAAGATACCAGGAGGCTAGCCCAGCTGATAGAGAGGCCGAAAGTGAGGAATCAACAGTCGAGAGAGGGTGGTTGGAGTACTTGAAGAGGTGGATTGGAGAAATTGGGGTTATTACGAAATTGATTGTCACGGTGAATGTATTAGTCTTCATTCTCGAAAGCTACATGGATTGGGACATCTGGTCTTATGTTATTAACCTTTATTATCTCAAGAATGGAGAGTACTTCAGGCTTATAAGTTATCAGTTTTCTCATATTAACTGGTTTCATATACTAACGAACATGCTGTGAGTTGTACTATACTCCCCCGAGATTGAGAAGCATCACGGGTTTTGGAAGTACTTGCTACTAAACTTTTTGTTATGAGCCGGACAAACAGCGCTCATGTTGTTGATGGTGTATGGAATGACCTATGTTCCAGAAGCATTGTATGGAGGAGAGTTTTATTATTATTATTCTCCAATAGGATACTCTGGTGTTATTTATGGATATATCACTCTTTGGTGCTACATAATTGAGGATGAGTATTTGTGCAGCTGCTGAATTATTCCAATCAAAGCTAAGTATGCTCCTTGGATATTGCTTATTATCGACCAAATAATATGTAAATAGCTATTTTTGTTAACTTTATAGGATTTGGAGTAAGTTTCATTTGTCATTTAAGTGGAATTCTCGCTGCTCATTTGATAAGAGTTTTCTTGTTTACAAAAGATGAAAAGATATTAGGAGAAGGCAAATCTTGTTTATCTAAAACCATAAACTACATCAGAGGAAGAAGAAACGTCAATTATGACATCACCTATGAACTCCAGTCGCAGCCAACTGTTGTTGAATCGGCTGTATAAACAATATTTGACATTCAATATTCAATCACTAAAGTTCGATATGGGGTTTTGGGGTTTTGGGGTTTTGGGG